TGTTTGGTATTGCCTAGTATTGACAGGTATTCGTGGTATCAACGGAGTACCTGGATCGTATGGTAAGTTGTGTGTGGTATTGTGTGGTGTTGATTGGTATTGTTTGGTATTCGTGGTTTTGTTGTATGGTAAGTTGCTTGGTATTACCTGGTATTGCTTGGTATTGCTTGGTATTGCTTGGTATTCGTGACATTTTCGTATGGTAAGTGGGTGTGGTATTGCCTGGTATTGACTGGTATTCGTGGTATCAACGGGGTACCTGGATCGTATGGTAAGTTGTGTGTGGTATTGTGTGGTGTTGATTGGTATTGACTGGTATTCGTGGCTTTGTTGTATGGTAAGTTGCTTCGTATTGCCTGGTATTGACTGGTATTCGTGGTATTCGTGGCATTGTCATATGGTAAGTGTATGTGGTATTACCTGGTATTGCTTGGTATTACCTGGTATTGCCTGGTATTGCCTGGTACTACCTGGTATTGCTTGGTATTGACTGGTATTGCCTGGTACTACCTGGTATTGCTTGGTATTGACTGGTATTGCCTGGTACTACCTGGTATTGCTCGGTATTGACTGGTATTGCCATGTATTACCTGGTACTACCTGGTATTACCTGGTATTGCTTGGTATTGCTTGGTATTGACTGGTATTACCTGGTATTGCTTGGTATTGACTGGTATTGCCTGGTATTACCTGGTTTTACCTGGTATTGTTTGGTATTGACTGGTATTGCCTGGTATTCGAGGCATTAATGGCGTGCCTGGATCGTGTGGTAAGTGTGTGTGGTATTTTTAGATTTTGGAATTAAAATTATATATTTTTTTTTTCTTTTTTTTTTTTGCCATCTTTTAATGATGATAAGTTTTTTTTATTTTCATTTTTCTGGCGTTATTTTTTTTTTCTTTAAGTGTGTCGTATTTTTCTGGAATAAAAGAAATATATATTTTTTTTTCTTTGTTTTTGTTTTTTTCTTTTTTCTTCTGGAATTCAATAAAAAATAAATAAATTCTTTTAAGGGTCGTATGCTATTTTATTTTAGTTTTTATAATAATAATAATAATAATAATAATAGATGCGAAATATAATATATATAAATACCACACTTATATACATACATATAATACGTACATACATACATATATACACAAATAAATAGATAAATAGTGAAAATAGATAGAGAGATTATAAACCGATTGAGCAATAGATTAGATACATACATACATACGTACATACATACATACATACATACGCACATACATACATATATACGTACATACATACATACATAAGTGTTTGAATATTTGTGATTTTTTACTCATTCTTACGTGTTTTTTTTTCTTCCCCTCCCCCCCCTTCTTCTCTCTTTTTCTCTTTTCCTCTCTCTTTCTCCTTTCTCTTTCCTTCCCTCTCTATTTATCTATCTATCTATCTATCTACTCATCTACCTATCTATTCCTCTCTCTTCCTTCTCTCTCTCTCTCTCTCTCTCTCTCTCTCTCTCTCTCTCTCTCTCTCTCTCTCTCTCTCTCTCTCTCTCTCTCTCTCTCTCTCTCTCTCTCTCTCCTTCTCTATCTCTATCTATCTCTCCATCTCTCTACTCCTCCCTCTCTCTCCCTCCATCCCCCCATCCATCCCTCCCCCTCCCTCTCTCTCTCTCTATCTATCTATCTATCTATCTATCTATCTATCTATCTATCTATCTATCTCTCTCTCTCTCTCTCTCTCTCTCTCTCTCTCTCTCTCTCACTCACTCTCTCTCTCTCTCTCTCTCTCTCTCTCCTTCTCTATCTCTATCTATCCCTCCCTCCCTCTCCCTCCCCATCCCTCCCTCTCCCTCTATCTACCCCTCCCTCCCTCTCTTTCTCTCTTTCTATCTATCTATCCCTCCCTCCCTCCCCCACTCCCTCACTCTACCCACCCCTCTCCCTCCCTCCACCCACCCCTCTCTACCCACCCATCCCCCCCACTCCCTCCCTCTCTCCCCCCATCCACCCCCCTCCCACTCCCTCCCCCACCCTTCCCCCCACCCTTCCCCCCACCCATCTACCAGGTCTCTCCGGCGCCCAAGGCTGGAAGGGCGAAGAGGGTGATCTCCTGCCAGGGCCATTTGTCAAAGGCAGAGTTGGTGACGATGGCCTACCAGGACCCCCAGGTTCCTACGGTCAGAAGGGAGAGCCTGGCTTCGACGGGCGACCTGGTCTCGACGGCAGGGCGGGGACGAAGGTAAGGTCAGGTCAAAAGTGAGGGCACGGGAGAGGTAAAAGGTGAGGTCAGGTCACGGGAGGCATTAAAGGTGAGGTCACGGGAGAGGTAAAAGTGAGGTCAGGTCACGTGATTAGGGGTCAAAGGTGAGGTCAGATCACGTGATTAGGGGTCAAAGGTGAGGTCAGGTCAAAAGTGAGGTTACGAGAGCCTGGCTTCGAAGGGCGACCTGGTCTCGACGGCAGGGTGGGGACGAAGGTGAGGTCAGGTCACGTGATTAGGGGACGAAGGTGAGGTCAGGTCACGTGATTAGGGGACGAAGGTGAGGTCAGGTCACGTGATCAGGGGTCAAAGATGAGGTCAGGTCAAAAGTGAGGTCACGTGATTAGGAGTCAAAGGTGAGGTCAGGTCACGGGAGGTGAGTTAGGGGTCGTTTCAGGTCATAGGTCAGGTCACGTGATCAGGAGTCAAAGGTGAGATCAGTTCACGTGATTAGAGGGCAAAGGTGAGGTCAGGTCATGGGAGGTGAGTTAGGGGTCAAAGGTGAGGTCACGTGATTAGGGGTTAAAGGTGAGGTCACGTGATCAGGGGATAAAGGTGAGATCACGTGATCAGGGGTCAAAGGTGAGGTCACGTGATTAGGGGTCAAAGGTGAGGTCACGTGATTAGGGGGTCAAAGGTGAGGTCACGTGATTAGGGGTTAAAGGTGAGGTCACGTGATTAGGGGTCAAAGGTGAGGTCACGTGATTAGGGGTTAAAGGTGAGGTCACGTGATCAGGGGATAAAGGTGAGATCACGTGATCAGGGGTCAAAGGTGAGGTCACGTGATTAGGGGTCAAAGGTGAGGTCACGTGATCAGGGGATAAAGGGTGAGATCACGTGATCAGGGGTCAAAGGTGAGGTCACGTGATTAGGGGTCAAAGGTGAGGTCACGTGATTAGGGGTTAAAGGTGAGGTCACGTGATCAGGGGATAAAGGTGAGATCACGTGATCAGGGGTCAAAGGTGAGGTCACGTGATTAGGGGTCAAAGGTGAGGTCACGTGATCAGGGGATAAAGGTGAGATCACGTGATCAGGGGTCAAAGGTGAGGTCACGTGATTAGGGGTCAAAGGTGAGGTCACGTGATTAGGGGTTAAAGGTGAGGTCACGTGATTAGGGGTCAACGGGTACAACGTGGGGGTTGTATCAGGTCATCTGAGGTCAGAAGACGTTATATCAGGTCACAGGTAAACCTTACAGGACTATTATTTTTATTTCATTTCTATTTTTATTTTTTTATTTATTTATTTTATTTATTTATTTATTTTTTTTTTTTGTTATTTAAAAATTCCTATAATTTTTAGTATTCATTTTTCTTGAATCCAAAAAGTTCATTAAAAAATATATTTTCTATGTAAAAAAAAAAAAGAAATCCAAAATTTCTGTATAGAAGACTATCAATTTTTTTTTTTTTTTAATAGCAGGAAAGAAGTCTATAAATAAATTTAAAAAAAGTAATAATGATAATAATAAAAAGAAAATAAAGATTTAAAAGGGAAAAAAATATATATATAAAAAAAGATTTCTATTGGACGAAAAATAATCGCAATTTTTTTCCCTCTTTCTTTCTTTTTCTCTCTCTCTCCCTCTCCCTCTCCCTCTCTCTCTGCCTCTCTCTCTCTCTCCCTCTCCCTCTCTCTCTCCCTCTCTCTCTCCCTCTCTCTCTCTCTCTCCCTCTCCCTCTCCCTCTCCCTCTCTCTCTCCCTCTCTCTCTCTCTCTCTCTCTCTCCCTCTCTCTCTCCCTCTCTCTCTCCCTCTCTCTCTCTCTCTCCCTCTCCCTCTCCCTCTCCCTCTCCCTCTCTCTCTCCCTCTCTCTCTCCCTCTCTCTCTCCCTCTCTCTCTCCCTCTCCCTCTCCCTCTCCCTCTCTCTCTCCCTCTCTCTCTCCCTCTCTCTCTCCCTCTCTCTCTCCCTCTCTCTCTCCCTCTCCCTCTCCCTCTCTCTCTCCCTCTCTCTCTCCTTCTCTCTCTCCCTCTCTCTCTCCCTCTCCCTCTCCCTCTCCCTTTCTCCTCCCTCCTCCCTACCTCTCCCCTCCCCCCCCACTCTCTCTCCTCTTCCCACCTTCCCTACCTCCCCCCTCCTTCCCTCTCCCTCTCTCCCCCCATCCCCCTACCTCCCCCTTCCCTCTCCCCTCCCCCTTCCCCCCTCCCCCCCACCCTCTCTCCTCTTCCCCCTTCCCCTCCCACCCCCACCCTCTCTCCTCTTCCCACCTTCCCTACCTCCCCCCTCCTTCCCTCCCCCTCCCTACCTCCCCTTCCCTCTCCCCTTCCCTCTTCCTACCTCCCCTTCCCTTCCCTCCCCCTTCCCTCTCCCCTCCCCCCTCCCCCTCCCCCCCCCCACCCTCTCTCCTCTTCCCTCCTTCCCTCTCCCTCCCTCCTTCCCTCTCCCCTCCCCCTTCCCTCTCCCTCCCCCTTCCTCTCCCTCTCTCCCCCCTTCCCCCTCCCCCCTCCTTCCCTCTCCCTCCCTACCTCTCCCTCTCTCCCCCCATCCCCCTACCTCCCCCTCCCCATCCCTCCCTCCCCCTCCCCCCCTCCTTCCCCCCACCCCCCCCACAGGGCAACCAAGGCGAAGACGGCCTGACGGGCATCAACGGGCTCCCAGGACGCAACGGCTTCAGTCCTCCCAAAGGCGTCCCCATCCCGGGCGACAACGGCCGGAAGTGAGTCGTTAATTAATTGGTTGATTGAGTTATTTAATTAATTAATTAGGGAGGGAGGGAGACAACGGCCGGAAGTGAGTCGATTTAATTCGTTAATTAATTGGTTGATTGAGTTAATTAATTGGTTGATTGAGTTAATTAATTGGTTGATTGAGTTAATTAATTGGTTGATTGAGTTATTTAATTCGTTAATTAGTTAACGGCGGGAAGTGAGTCGATTTAATTCGTTATTTAATTAGGTAATTAAGGAGGGAGGGAGACAACGGCCGGAAGTGAGTCGATTTAATTCGCTAATTAATTGGTTGATGGAGTCGATTTGATTCGTTAATTAATTGGTTGATTGAGTCGATTTGATTCGTTAATCAATTAGTTGATGGAGTTATTTAATTCGTTAATTAGGGAGGGAGGGAGACAATGGATGGAAGTGAGTCGATTTAATTAGTTGATTAAAGAGACAACGGGTTGTTTAATGACGTCACTGGATATTTAATGACGTCATTGGGTATTCAATGACGTCATTGGGTATTTAATGACGTCATTGGGTATTTAATGACGTCACTCACTTCCATCGTCCCCATCCCGGGCGACAACGGCCGGAAGTGAGTCGATTTGAATCGTTAATTAATTGGTTGATGGAGTTATTTAATTAGTTAATTAATCGATTGAGTTATTTAATTCGTTAATTAGTTAACGGCCGGAAGTGAGACGATTTGATTCGTTAATTAATTGGTTGATGGAGTTATTTAATTCGTTAATTAATTAGTTGACTGAGTTATTTAATTCGTTAATTAATTGGTTGATTGAGTTATTTAATTAGTTAATTAGGGAGGGAGGGAGACAACGGATGGAAGTGAGTCGATTTAATTCGTTAATTAATTGGTTGATGGAGTTATTTAATTAGTTAATTAGTTAACGACAGGAAGTGAGTCGATTTAATTCGTTGATGAAGGAGTTACTTAATTAGGCAATTAGGTATTCAATGCATTCATTAGGTACTTAAGTGGGTATTTAATTCATTCATTAGGTATATAATTGGGTATTTAATTAATTCATTAGGTATTTAATTGGGTATTTGATTCTTATTGGTGGCGTCCCTATCCCGGGAGACGACGGCAGAAAGTGAGTCGATTTAATTCGTTATTTAATTAGTTAATTAAGGAGGGAGGGAGACAACGGGTGGAAGTGAGTCTTGAAGTGAGTATTTAATTGGGTATTTGATTAGATAATTAGGTATTTAATGGGATTTTTTATTAGGTATTAGGTATTTAATTGGGTATTTAATCAGGGAGGTTAATTAGAGACAACGGCTGGAAGTGAGTTGATTTAATTCGTTATTTAATTAATTAATTAAGGAGGTAGGGAGACAACGGGTTGTTTAATGACGTCACTGGGTATTTAATGACGTCACTGGGTATTTAATGACGTCATTGGGTATTTAATGACGTCATTGGGTATTTAATGACGTCACTGGGTATTTAATGACGTCATTGGGTATTTAATGACGTCACTGGGTATTTAATGACGTCACTGGGTATTTAATGACGTCATTGGGTATTTAATGACGTCACTGGGTATTTAATGACGTCACTGGGTATTTAATGACGTCACTGGGTATTTAATGACGTCACTGGGTATTTAATGACGTCACTGGGTATTTAATGACGTCACTGGGTATTTAATGACGTCACTGGGTATTTAATGACGTCACTGGGTATTTGATGACGTCACTGGGTATTTAATGACGTCATTGGGTTTTTTAATGACGTCACTGGGTATTTAATGACGTCATTGGGTTTTAATGACGTCATTGGGTTTTTAATGATGTCATTGGGCTTTTAAAGACGTCATTGGGTATTTAATGACGTCACTGGGTATTTAATGACGTCATTGGGTATTTAATGACGTCACTGTTTTTTAATGACGTCATTTGGGTTTTTAATGACGTCATTGGGTTTTTAATGACGTCATTGGGTTTTAATTCGTTATTTAATTAGTTAATTATCACTTATTTCCTCTTCTCTCTATCTTCACCTATTTCGCCATCTTTATCACCCATTTTCACCTTCTTCCCCATCTTCATCATTTATTTCTCTTATTCCCACCTTTATTCTCTATTCCCCTTCCTCCCCATCTTTATCACTTATCCCCTATTCCCATCTTCATCACTTATTTCCCCTTATTCTCACCTTTATTCTCTATTCCCCTTCCTCCCCATCTTCATCCCCCATTTCCCCTATCTCCCATCTTTATCACCCATTTCCCTTATTCCCCATCTTTATCCCCCATTCCCCTATCTCCCACCTTTATCCCCCATTCCCCCTCCTCCCCCACCTTCATCCCCCATTCCCCCTCCTCCCCATCTTTATCCCCCATTCCCCTATCTCCCATCTTTATCCCCCATTTCCCTTATTCCCCATCTTTATCCCCCATTTGCCCTCCTCCCCACCTTCATCACGTATCCTCTATTCCCCATCTTTATCCCCCATTTCCCCTCCTCCCCACCTTCATCACGTATCCCCTATTCCCCATCTTCATCACCTATCCCCCATTTCCCCATCTTTATCCCCTATTCCCCCATTCCCCCTCCTCCTCCACCTTCATCCCCCATCCCCCATTCCCCCTCCTCCCCATCTTTATCCCCCATTCCCCTATCTCCCATCTTTATCCCCCATTTCCCTTATTCCCCATCTTTATCCCCCATTTCCCCTATCTCCCATCTTTATCCCCCATTCCCCTCCTCCCTACCTTCATCACTTATCCCCCATTCCCCCTATCTCCCCATCTTTATCCCCCATTTCCCCTATCTCCCATCTTTATCCCCCATTTGCCCTATCTCCCCATCTTTATCACATATCCCCTCCTCCCCATCTTCATCACTTATCCCCCATTTCCCCATCTTTATCACCCATTTCCCTTATTCCCCATCTTTATCCCCCATTTCCCCTCCTCGCCACCTTCATCACGTATCCCCTATTCCCCATCTTCATCACCTATCCCCCCTATCTCCCATCTTTATCACCCATTCCCCTTATTCCCCATCTTTATCCCCCATTCCCCTATCTCCCATCTTTATCCCCCATTTCACCTATCTCCCATCTTTATCACCTATTCCCCCTCCTCCCCTATCTCCCATCTTTATCCCCCATTTGCCCTATCTCCCATCTTTATCCCCCATTCCCCTATCTCCCATCTTTATCCCCCATTTCCCCTCCTCCCCACCTTCATCACTTATTCCCCATTCCCCCTATCTCCCATCTTTATCCCCCATTTCACCTATCTCCCATCTTTATCCCCCATTCCCCCTCCTCCCCATCTTTATCACATATCCCCCATTTCCCCATCTTTATCCCCCATTCCCCCTATCTCCCATCTTTATCCCCCATTCCCCCTCCTCCCCCTCCTCCCCTACCTTCATCACTTATCCCCCATTTCCCCTATTCCCCATCTTTATCCCCCATTTCCCCTATCTCCCATCTTCATCCCCCATTTCCCCTCCTCCCCATCTTTATCACATATCCCCCTCCTCCCCATCTTTATCCCCCATTTCCCCTCCTCCCCATCTTCATCACGTATCCCCTATTCCCCATCTTTATCACATATCCCCTCCTCCCTACCTTCATCCCTTATCTCCCACCTTTATCCCCCATTCCCCCTCCTCCCCCTCCTCCCCTACCTTCATCACTTATCCCCCATTCCCCCTATCTCCCATCTTTATCCCCCATTTCCCCTTATTCCCCATCTTTATCCCCCATATCCCTTATTCCCAGAGGCGCGAGGGGAGACCGCGGCGACCACGGCCTACCAGGGGAACCAGGTCAGGTCATCGGCATAGGAGGCCTCAAGTACCCACTCCTGGTCAAGGGGGACGATGGAGAACCAGGTAAGGGGGTGGGGAGGGGAGGAGGGGGAGGGGGGGTATTTTGGTTGTTTGGTTGGTTGGTTTTTTGGTTGGTTGGTTGGTTTGTTTTTTTGTTTGTTTGTTTGGTTGGTTGGTTGTTTATCCACTCCTGGTCAAGGGGGACGATGGAGAACCAGGTAAGGGGGTGGGGAGGGGAGGAGGGGGAGGGGGGGTATTTTGGTTGTTTAGTTGGTTGGTTTTTTGTTTGTTTGGTTGGTTGGTTGGTTTATTTGTTTAGTTTGTTTGTTTGGTTGGTTGGTTGTTTATCCACTTCTGGTCAAGGGGGACGATGGAGAACCAGGTAAGGGGGGGGAGAGGGGAGGAGGGGGAGGGGGGGGTATTTTGGTTGTTTGGTTGGTTGGTTTTTTGTTTGTTTGGTTGGTTGGTTGGTTGGTTGTTTTTTTTGGTTGGTTGGTTGTTTATCCACTCCTGGTCAAGGGGGACGATGGAGAACCAGGTAAGGGGGGGGGGGGAGGGGGAGGGGGAAGGGGGAGGGGGGGGGTATTTTGGTTGTTTGGTTTTTTGGTTGGTTGGTTTGTTTGTTTGGTTGGTTGGTTGTTTATCCACTCCTGGTCAAGGGGGACGATGGAGAACCAGGTAAGGGGGGGAGGGGGGAAAGGGGAGGGGGGGTATTTTGGTTGTTTGGTTGGCTGGTTTTTTGTTTGTTTGGTTGGTTGGTTGGTTGGTTGGTTTTTTTGGTTGGTTGGTTGTTTATCCACTTCTGGTCAAGGGGGACGATGGAGAACCAGGTAAGGGGGGGGGAGGGGGGGTATTTTGGTTGTTTGGTTGGTTGGTTGTTTGTTTGGTTGTTTGGTTGGTTTGTTTGTTTGTTTAGTTGGTTGTTTATCCACTTCTGGTCAAGGGGGACGATGGAGAACCAGGTAAGGGGGGGGAGGGGGGGGGGGGGTATTTTGGTTGTTTGGTTGGTTGGTTGTTTGTTTGGTTGGTTGTTTGTTTGTTTGTTTGTTTGGTTGGTTGGTTGTTTATCCACTTCTGGTCAAGGGGGACGATGGAGAACCAGGTAAGGGGGGGAGGGGGGGGATTTTGGTTGTTTGTTTGGTTGGTTTTTTGTTTGTTTGGTTGGTTGTTTGTCCGGTTGTTTGTTTAGTTTGTTTGTTTGTTTGTTTGGTTGTTTTTTATCCACTCCTGGTCAAGGGGGACGATGGAGAACCAGGTAAGGAGGGGGGGAGGGGGGAGGGGGAGGGG